AGACCTGAAATATAGTCAAAAGTAAAACAAAATAGCCCAGCTGGTTCTCTTGTGGGTGATTTAGGTATGCCAGAAAGGGAAAAAGGGAGTACTGTGCCAAGGGATGAGGTTCACCCCTTCCAGTACCCTTTATTGGCACGGATTAACACTAGGATAGTGGTTATGGCGTCTAAAAGCTTCTCAAAATCAAGAAGGGGGACACTAGGAGAGCAGGGAAAACTGCAGTAAGTCAAGCGAGAAGAATAAAAGGGTGACAAGTGCAACTGTTGTCTGAGGAAATTTTGAAAAATTGCAATTCTTTCTCTCCATAAATTAATATGATACCAAGCTAACTTTTAGAATGATTTCCTTTGCACTAATGTCTTGGGATCAAACTGTTATGGCTTAATAGCCAATACCTAAGAACTCTCGATCATGGTAATCTATAGCAAAAATATTAAGTATCAGGATTTTGCCCAGACTGAGATGCCCATTAATCATAATTTTATAGCATCACAAACATGATAAAACAGCTATCTGTATTGCCCATCAGTTTCCACATCTGTCATGTGGAGCTTTAGTGTGATTGATTTTAATTCACAATTGATGTTGTATGTTATGCCTCAATAATTCTAGTTATTCATTTTCATTTTAACATTTTGTTTTTAGCCGGATTGCTTGGATGATCTGGCTTATGCAATTATGTATGAGATGAGCAAGTTATGTTATCGAGTTTCTGAAGCTGATGTTACTCGTGCTTGTAACCAGGTAGTTACCAGTTCTTGTACTGAACCTTGATATTATCTGCTTGCTTGTCCTCAGTTTTTAAGTGCTTTTAATAAAACTATATTGCGTATATCTATATATATATATATATATGTGTGTATATTGTTTTGTAATTCAAAAACAATACGACATATATGGCTACCACCCTAATTTGTGGATCAATATGCCTTCCATATATGCTCAGGTCTTAAGTCTTTATTTCTTTATAGTTGAGTTCTGGAGATAATGAAAGCCATAAGTTATGGATTGAACTTTCAATATACTTCTATTAATGACTAAGAAATATTTATAAAGTTGGGGATGTTTAAAACTGTTTTTGGTTCACCAAGTAAATAACCCTTTACCAAGCATCCCATATTTTGCCTGTAGTTATAACTTATCTTAGATAAGTATTTGTTGTGACAGAGTGAGTCAGAGCTACATCATTTGTTGAATAAAATGTGTTATCCACATTTTTATTACACATTAAAACTAAAATATGGACAAAGGAGGTGTGGTAGATTAACTTGTATCCATGCAACATGCTTAGTTTTATGAAAGGGAAATCGATTTTAGCTTGGCCACTTATTTTTTATCTTGTGGTGTTCAGTATATTGGCATTCACTTACAGTTCTATTGCACTGCAGTTGAAATCTTCTTTGCTGCTTCACATAGATGGAACTAGTCCTGTTGCTGAAGATATTGGGTGCCAGGTAAAGTACTTGATGCATTTTCAGTTGGCATTAATGAGATTGCTGAAAACATGATGGCTTTTAACACCAACTATAAGGACACTGGTCTATTTGGTGTTTATGCCATTGCCAAGGTGAGATTATGCCCTATAATTATGATTTTTTTAGTTTCAGGGCCTTCTTTCCCTCTTCATATTAGGTTCTTTCAAATTTTTGATATCTTTTTGCCATGACTCTATATTTTGTTAGCAAATTGAGAACATCTATAAATCACTCCCTGAAATGATTGGGTTGTATCTCTTGTTCCCTCTTGTTCCATTTCTTTCCTCAATCACTTTTCTGATGGACTAGGTCCCCATTTGGCACTACTGTGTGTTTAGCTTGGAATTACTTTTCTTTCCCTTGAAATAATGCTTTAGGTTGTGTTTGGCTGCATCTTTAATGTACTTTGATGTGTAGAGGCTCCCCTAAAGGCACTTTTTTAGTGAAATAAAACGTACAAGAGGATATGCAAGTGCTTTTGAAGTGAAGCTTGGCACTCAACCAAGCTATAATCTAGCTGCTGCAGAATTCCAGAGCAGAATGTTGCAGTGTTTCCAGTTCTAGACTGTCTCGTCATATGAGGTGAAGAATTCTTCTCCATCAGCCTCACACATGACTACAGTTGCACAAATCTTTGTTGATTTTATCAGCGGAATAGGTTGAGGTCCGGCGGGCGGCTAAGGTGAGGTTGCCGCCCGCCGGGGAAGCGAAAATACTAGGTTTTAAACCAGCTCTGATACCATGTAAGAAATAATGTATAGAGAAAGAGAGAGAATAAATTGTATGTATTATTATTGATTGATATATTGATTGATTTGTTGCTATATTTACAATTCCTATATATAGAAGAAAATGTGGTAGTAGGTGTAGGAGTGAAGTGGAGGTGGTAGGTGGAGTGTGTGATAGTGGAGGTGGTAGGTGGAGATAAATTCTAACACACCCTTCTTTGTATTTGTTATAAATTATAATAATGTGCTCAGGTAACAGATAAGTCACATAACAGCAGCATAAATACACAATCTAGAATATTTAGTTTTATTTCTACTAATTTTAAACCCCTTTCAACTGGAGTACTTCTCTCTTAACATCGTCTTAATGTCTTCATCTCATTGACACTAACACAATGTCTTGTCAATACTTTATACAACTTCATCAACTATTATCACATTGCCAATCTACATTTCTCAATAATTAATACCACTTAATCTCCAACAGCACAATGTCACATAATATCCAATAGCCTACCACTCCACATTTAAAGCAACACAACCCAACAAAATTGGTTGACAATCTCTATGGAAGACTTCTGAAAGAACCCTCTTAAGCCTAAAGTTTTAGCTAGTAAACAACTCCCAATTAATTGGTATGCAGAAGATAAATAGAGCGGATATTATATTTTCAAGGAATTATTGCCTCAAAAAACCTAAAATGTCAAATAACATATATTAATCTTGTAGTTTTGGGAATTTTTAAAATTTTTGGTTGTACCCATGTCCCAATCAAGACTTGAACCATGCAACCACCCCTTTGGGGGTGGCAAAAATATACAACTAAAGCTACTAGGGAAGCCTCCAACATATCATCGCTTCATTTTCTTAGACCCAAAAAAATATAAATGCAAATATAAATCAAAGAATTGCACAAGATCCCGGAGTCGGTGAAAGCAAGATCAACCAAAATGATTATGAGCATATAGATATCAATATGTTTTCTTTTTCTTTTTTTTGGTCAAGATAAGGAAGGGCAATAGGGGAAGGGAGGTTGCATTCACAGCAATAAGACTCAAACCCAGGCTTCACACCTGGTAATATTAATGTACAAGACTGCTTGACCTAAGCGTTGAGTGTTATTATCTATGGTTCACTGTGCGTTAACCAAAATCAAAGTGCAAACTTCATTTCAGACATGATCTACGAGAAATAAAGACTAATATGGAAGACCTCTATGGGAAACTATAGTGTTAACACGTTTACATGAAACAAAGCGTTGAGTGCACCCAAGTATCCACACTAACTGCAACACATAATAAAAGAGGAAATGGAAGAAATTTCTTACCCAAAACATAATGATACAATTTATCAGATACATTAAACACATACAGCACCAATGGTTCATATCAAAAGTTACACCCTCAGTTTTTAACTACTATTTTGACAAGTAAAAAAAGTAGGCAGTTTTTAATCAATAAATGTTTTGTACACTCGAAAGACAAAAAAACAAAAACAATTACATGATTCCATAAATTTTTAACACCATGTTCACTAAGCTCACCTTTGTACGGTTCTGAGGACCCTTATCATCCTTTGGAGGCAAGGGTTCCAAGGCAGCCCTCTCAAGTAGTAGTAACACATCATCCACCAAAACAAATATATCTTTCTCTATGCGAACAATAGGAACCGGCAATTCTTCTGCATCCTGTAATTTCCCCCTACCTTTCTTGCTCTTGGTCTGGCCTTCAAGAGCCTTCAGTCCACTGTACAGGGAATCCATTACCAAGGTAGAAGTTACTTCCTTTTCTATAAAGAAGTTCTTCACCACAACTCTCAAAATTGCATCAGTTTTCTCCCTGGACATACGGCGCCTAGCATTTTGGTCAATCCCTACCCAGAAAGCACAAAAGCTGCAGCCATCACAAGTAAATCTGTTATTCTGGAATTAATAATACACTGACTGAAAATGGTGTAGAACCAGATCACATGAGAAAACAAAAAGATGAAGCATAACAGACACAAAGTTAACAAGCTTTAAACAGACAAAGAAGGAAGAAAGAAAATAGAAAAGAATAAATTTTTAGGACTGTAGCCTATAACCAACGAACATTAAATTTAAAGAATTGAAACCATAAGATGTCACTCCACTTAAGCAGTTTTAAAGATCTGAAAATAAAAAGCCCACATTTCTCTTCACCACAACTCTCAAAATTGCACCTGTTTTCTCCCTGGACATACGGCGCCTAGCATTTGGTCAATCCCTACCCAGAAAGCACAAAAGCTGCAGCCATCACAAGTAAATCTGTTATTCTGGAATTAATAATACACTGACTGAAAATGGTGTAGAACCAGATCACATGAGAAAACAAAAAGATGAAGCATAACAGACGCAAAGTTAACAAGCTTTAAACAGACAAAGAAGGAAGAAAGAAAATAGAAAAGAATAAATTTTTAGGACTGTAGCCTATAACCAACGAACATTAAATTTAAAGAATTGAAACCATAAGATGTCAATCCACTTAAGCAGTTTTAAAGAGCTGAAAATAAAAAGCCCACATTTCTGTTGATTAACCCAAAAAAACAAAACTAAAAAAAAACGTCAAAACCTAGAGCCATAAGAACTAAAGATATTATTAATATTGGGAGTCTCAAAATATCCTCTCTTTCATGAAAGAATATGTCATTAATATGTAACAATTACAAAAGCAGATAAACTCTACCTTGACCATCTAGCTTTATCTTCTATCAATTTCCCAAGCTTGCTTCTTCTTTCTTCCACAAAACGGCGACAAATTTGCTCTACATTTGTCAAATATACCCGAACAAGTTCTCTCCTATACTGACAATCAAGGCAGCGAAAGGGACGGTCTGCTCTCTCCCTACAAACCAAAAGTATAACTTGGAATCAGTAATCACAATGATTAACCCTTACTAACACTAGTAATAACAGAACCACTTGATCACTATAGCAAGAATGAAACCTATAGGAAGGAAAAATAACTCTGCTGGAAAAATAATTACTCAAAGAGTGGGGTAGCAGTTCTCAATCATAGTTGTAAAAGCAAAAGCATTACGGGAGATGAAAGTTTTATGATTCTTTGTTTCTTAGTAATACAAATATGAAAATGGTTAAACACAAACCAAAAGCATATCTTGGTCCAAGAAGTTCCAAGAAGACTGTCCGAAATAGCTTAGTGGCTTATCTTAGAACCAAACTTACACATAACCCCTCTGGTTCAAGGGCTGAAAAGAAATGTGGTTCGAGATCATGCCTAGTGTAGAAAGGGAGGGTTAAAATCTCTTTCTGAATAAATGAGCACAGCCTAGACTGAATCTGTCGCTCGGGGCAAAAAGGGGGAAGAATGCCAGGTAGAGAGAGTGCTTATGCCGGGGCCTCAAAGAGGTCAAGTGGGAAGATTTAGGGAAGAAAAAGAACATTAACCATTCTCAGCAGCATAAGAATTCCTAAGCCATAGTTAATAGATGAGGAATATTATCCCAAATCATATTTCATTGGTTCCAAAACAGAATAACATGATTTATTAAGATGACTCATAAAAGACCTGATGACTTGGACTTGAGCTTTAATAATGAGAGTATCAGCATCAATAAACCCATCTAACACTTTAGATAGCTCCATAAATTTTTTCCATCCCCAATCATGCTCTTTCTTCCAGAATCGATGTAACGTATCTGCGAATTCAATTATAAGTCATTAGTGCTGAACTAATTAGAACCAGAAACTCCGCAAAGTTTGCCAATACATATCCAACCAACCAGAATATTTGGATTTCTTAGGATCTTTATTCACCACAGCTATAGTGAACTGTGCAAAATGACTCCATCCTATTTTAACCAACAAGAAAAAGAACAAGAAAAAAGTGAGATCAACTAGAAAAGGACGAAAATTGATTATCAAGACAAATTATAAATAATTATGTATTAGCAAACCTGGAAGAAGCTTGTCATGATTAGCCACACAGAGAAACAAAGAAAGATGATTGCAGACATCACAACCTTGAGGGTATATTAAAATGTACCTGCAGCCATAGGAAGAAGTTTCAATTAGAACATACAACGTGAAGCAGTTTTCCACACCATAATCATTGATCTCACAACCCTCAGCATGCCCACATATAACAAGGAGAAGGGCACAGTGGTCAAATGGCTATGAGAAAAATATTCTTACTCTTTGAAAATTGAAATTGCACAAATTTTTCGGGCTGATGAATGAGTGAACAAGTAGGTCGAATTTCAATTTCAGCCAAGCATTTTTCAAAGATACTACAAACCTAACCAAATAAGATATCCAAAATGTGATGTGGCTGTGGACCTGAGGTCATGTTGATTTGTCATAACACGTAGGCATCCTCTTAAATTTAATCAACATAACAAAATTCCAATTCAATCTGACAATATCTATCAAACAACTTCTGTGCATATTCAGAACTAGTAAAAGTTCCAATGCCAACCCAGCACATGGGATATTCTTTTCAACCAGAACTACTGATTGGAAAATCACATGCATGTTCGCATACAGCAAGCATGAAAGTACCAATCTGCATAAAATATATCCATACAATACAGTGAATAACACTGATTTCTTTTTGTAAAAGATACCACTAAAGAATGGTACAGTTGAAGTACATAACAATAATAATATTGCATTCCAAAAATGTGTTCTTTAATAATGATAACAGCAACCATAAAAATAAACCAAATAAGCACAACGGAAAATGCATGTTTTACAAACCATCTGTAGCCGCCGACCTCAAATGCATTACTACGAAGTTCTCGCTTGTTAATCTGTGAAAATTTATTTATCTTCCATGTATACTTTCCATATAACTCAGAAGGTTTTGGTCCTGCAAAGTAATAAAATAGCAAGTTGAAGTTAAACACATAACAGATGCATCATGTGCCAAAGCAGATATGACAGATTAAAAGCACTCGATGGGAAAAACTAACTCCGCCGGGGTTGCTTAACAACTCCGCCGGTCCCAAGCCCCGGCAAAGGACGAGGGTTGTGTGTTAGTAGCCGACAACCAACACGTAAAAAAGCTGCTCGGATCCTTTATGACATGAAGCCTAATACTTTAAACCGATTAAATGGTAGGTCGTTCCCTTTAAGTGACACATTGCGCCTGCCTCCAGGTGTTTCGAAAAGTGAGCACGGGACGCCGCATCAATGCCTAGGTGCAGTGAAAAATGGCCAAAGGTTTCTGCATTTTTCTAGACGAGCGCGGATAAAGAAGCTAGTCCAAGATTATAGGTTTAGGATAGTCACAAGGAATATAGGAACTTTAACTGGTAAGACTATGAAATTGGTAAATGTCATGATTAGGAGAGTAAGTATAACTTGCGTATAAGAAAATACGTGGACGAGTGAGAAACTCAGGAAATAGAGGATACCGGTTGTAAGCTATATTATAGTAGTAAGGATAGACACGAAATAGGATAGGAATAATAGTTGTCAAGAGTCTTGTAGAAAATGTAGTTGTTGTCATTAGGAAAGGTAATAAGATTATGTTAGTTAAACTAGTTATTACAGAGAATATAGTAAATGTTATTAGTGTATATGCCCCCCAAGTAGGATTAGATGATCAGACTAAAAGAGTTTTTTGGGACCAAATGGATGATGTATTACAAGAAATACCAGTAAGAAATAACCTAGTTATAGGTGGTAATTTCAATGGCCATGTAAGAGTAGATAAACTAGGTTATGAGAGGGCACATGGTGGGTATAGTTTTGGTGATAGAAATGAGACTGAAGAGAGTATTTTAGATTTTGCGTTGGCTTCTGACCTAATGACGGCCAATACTATGAATAAGGAGAGAGGAACATTTGATAACCTTCAACAGTAAGTCAATTAGGAGCCAAATAGATTACTTTCTAGTAAGAAAAAGGGACAATCTAAAATGTAGCGATTGTAAGGTGATTCCTGGAGAGAGCTTGATGTCTTAACATAGAATTGTGGTACTAGATTTATGCTTTAAAGGGCAATACCAAGCTCGAAAAGATATTGGGCGTCGCAGGACTAGATGGTGGGACCTAAAAAGGGATAAATTAGACACATTTAATAATAGCATGGATAAAGAAGGTACTTAGGCCATGGAAGATGATACTAACACTATGTGGAACTCGATGGCCAATTGTATGAGGAGAATCTCAAGAGAAGTTCTTGGAGAGTCGAAAAGAAAGGGACCCAACTTTAGGGAAACTTAGTTGTGGAGGGAGAAGGTCCAAGCAATAATAAAAACAAAAAAAGAGAGCTTTAAAAAGTGAGAGAATGATAGAACTGAGGAAAACCTTAAGCCCTACAGATTGGCCAATAAGGAGGTCAAAAAAGTAGTAAGAGAGACTAAGTTGTAAGCCTATGATGACCTATACACTAGACTAGATAGTAAGGAGGGAGAGAAGAAGATATATACAAGCTTACTAAGATAAGAGAGAGGAAAATAAGAGATTTTAATCAGGTTAAGTGCATCAAAGGAGAAGACTCTACGGTGGTGGTGAAGGATGAAATGATTAAGGAGAGGTGGAACAACTACTTTGAGAAATTGTTAACTGAGAAACTATTACATGAGAAACATGAATGTAGGTCAAAAAAGGAGGGAGTAGACAGTAATAAGGAAAACCAAGACTATAGGTTCTATCATAAGATTAGGGACTTTGAAGTGGAGTTTGCGCTTAAGAAAATGAAATTAAATAAGAATTTAGGACCCGATGATACACCTATTGAAGTGTGAAAATGTTTGGGTAAGAAGGGTATTGTTTGGTTAACTAGGTTATTTAGCAAGATTTTATTAACTAGGAAAATATCCGAGTGGAGAAAGAGTATTTTAATGCCAATATATAAGAATAAATGAGATGTCCTGACTTGCAACAACTATAGAGGAATCAAGTTAATGTGTCACACAATGAAAGTATAGGAGAGAGTGATGGAACGTCGATTGCGAGATATAAACAAAGGTGTCAGAGAATCAATTTGGGTTTATGCCTAGTAGGTCAACAATAGAAGCGATCTATCTTTTCAGGAGAGTAACATAAAAGTATAGAGAAAAGAAAAAAGGCATTCATATGATTTTTATTGATCTTGAGAAAGCATATGATAGAGTGCCTGGGAGATATAATTTGATGGGTGTTAGAGAAGAAAGGGGTGACAAAAGGTTACATTAATGTAATTAGAGATATGTATGAAGGTGTGGTGACCACTATTAGATTGCTTGCTGGAGAGACGAGTGAATTTCTAATTACTGTAGGGTTACACCAAAGATCAACCTTAAGTTCTTATCTTTTCACTTGTTATGAATGAGTTGACGTGCCATATTCAGGATGATATGTCATGGTGTATGCTTTTTGCAGATGATATCGTGTTAATGGATGAGACTAAAGAAGGAGTTAACACTAAGTTGGAGATTTGACAAAGTATATGTAGTGTGTAATTTTAGTAACAGTCACAATGGAAGTAGAAGAGAAGTGAATATTGAAAACCAAGAACTACCAAAGAGTGAACATTTTCGTTATTTAGGATCGATCATCTCAACGATTGGGGAGACTGCAACGAACGAGGTGGCTTAAGTGGAGAAGTGCGTCTGGAGTACTGTGTGATAAACGAGTACCCATTAGACCAAAAGAGAAGTTATATAGAACGGCTATTAGACCAGCGATGTTGTATGGGATGGAATGTTGGGCAACTAAGAAACATGTAGACAAGATGAGTGTTGCTAAGATGAAGATGCTAAGGTGGATGTGTGGCAAGACTAGAAAAGACAGAGTTAGGAATAAGTATATTCGACCATGGGCAGGAGTAGTACCGATAGAAGATAAGTTGACAAAGAATAAATTGAGATGGTTTGGTCATATACAATGGACACCAACAAAGGCAGTAGTAAAGAGATGCGATACAATGACGGTAGATGGTAGTGTTAGGGGAAAGGGTAAACCTAGATTGACGTGGATTAGTGTAGTAAATAAAGATATAAATCTCCTTAATTTGACTAATGAAATAGCTTTGGATAGAGTCGAGTAGAAAAGAAGGATTCATACAGCTAACCCCAGTTGATGGGACTTAAGACTTGGTTTGGATGGGAAAAATTGAAAATGGTTACTGTAATGAAGACCTAAAATCTATCTTCATAAGACTGCCCCCCAATAATGGTTTCAAATAGTGTTTCATTCCACATAAGGTAGGAGAATAATATAGAAACAACATAGCAGATACTGCACATGGGAGTGATGTGTAGCTATGGTATGGTATAACCAAACCAAACCAAACCAAACCAAACCAAGCTTTAAGTCCCATCAAATGGGGTCGGCGAAGCTATGGTATGGTATACACCAAAATTTTGTAGTGATTTAGTCACCGTTCGATTGATCAAGACAAATAAATTGTTCATGATTAATCAAAGTCAAGATGGTTGAAGCCTTCAAAGAGATGTGGGTCCCACTAAAATTATGGGGCTTAACCCATTTTACAATATGGGCCATGCCAACAAAAAGTTTCCACCCGTTTTGACAAGTTGGGTCAAACAATTGGTTCAACTAAAAGGTGCAAGTCCCATGAGGACACTCGTCAAAATCTACCAAGAAGTGAGAAATTGTAGGAAAGCTACTATAGACGTTGGATTACAACAATCCTTGCACACTGAATCAAAAGATAAAAAACAACACCCAATTAGTACACATTAACGTGTGTTTGGGAGGGGAAAGATTGAGTACACACCTAACCTTTAGCATAATGCACAAAGTGATGGTCCCAAGATTTGAACCCATAACCTCAAGGTTATTAGGCCAAGTCATCACCATCATAATTGGTGTAAGCCATAGAGGATTGTACCCATTTTATATGCATTATATTTTTCTTTGTCAATACCAAGCATAATTATTTTATATATTTATGTAAATGTGTATCTTAAAATAAAAATATAAACGCTCTAAAGATGCTCCTTCTCTCAAGATATTTTCACAAAGGATGTTCTCGCTCTCGCTCTCCCATTCCCGCTCCATGAATGGGTGACCTACAGCATACCCATATTGTTCCCTATTTGTGCTACTTAAACCCAAATGGTTGGGAGCTCACCTGCGGAGAACTTCATTAAAAAGTTGTTATAATAAGTAAGATAACTTGTTGTGGAAAAATAATCTATCATAATATGGTGGTATGACTAGTTTTTTAGGAAGAGGGAGATTTAGGAAGACAGAAATTCCAGTGGTGTAACTAGTTTTATGGGGAGAGGAAATTTGAAGAACATAGAGTGCTTCTAGTCGACCATCTCCAATAAAGGCAAGTAATTTCACAAAACTAAATTACAAGTCACTCGTTCAATCATGTAAAAATAATAAATAAATAAATATAGCGGATCTATGATAACTACAAGAGCTTCTAGGGTAGCTAACATCAACTGAAACTATTTGACTCTCTTATTGCACCATTATTGCTACTACGGCTAGTCTCATTCCAAATCTTCTTTACCGCTTTATAGGAAGATATATATGAGCACGGGACACAAATATTATAGAATACAAACACTAACACAAGAAATATTTCAAAAAATAAGGAAAGATGCAATTGGAAAATATAAGTAAGGATGCTGACATCTTGCCCTCCCCATACCTCACTTTAATAGGAATCTTGTGCACTGCGTTGCCTTTTTTTTTTATGTAACTAGGAGGACATGACAATAAATTAAAAACAAAAACAACTTATTCTTTCTTTTTATCATAAATGCATTTATGACCTATTATCTCAAATTATCAATATAGTAAGAAATTATTTGATAGGTTATATTTGTTTGCATGAATCTTTTTAATAAATTATATTCATTCATAAAAATTGCTTTGAGGTCAAGACATTCTAAAAGA